GCACAACAAGCTACGGGTGCAAGTAGTGCTCTGGCGCTCCCCAGCCTACTTATACATATTTATATTAGAGACCATCATCGGCGCGGCGCCCCCCCAACGCGCGGCACCCGTGTGTATTGCACACCTGCACTATAGGTTAAGCCGCCCCTGCATTGATTTGATGTTTAATACCAAAAGAGAAATTAGGTAGATAATTATGTTTTATCCGATGTGCTGTTGGCTATTAATATATATGTGTTTTATTTAAAAGACGACGGACGAAAGAGTTTGTAATGATACATTTATTAAATTATAGTTATTGCAAATATTTTAGTGTTTCAATTAATATTCCTCCCACAATAACACATTTTTATTGTAATAATTATATAAAAATACCATAATCACTAAAAAAGCATGAAATAAACACTTTTTATAAAAAGCAGTAGCGACTTCAAACTTGACAAATAACACTTCGCAAAAGACGGGTGGAGATTTTCTGTAGGTTATTAATTAAATGATAGGCGGTCGACGTCAACAGCGTTTTCTTGAATAAGTCTCTTTTGAAATAAGTATTACTTATAATGTTTTTTAAAGTCTGATCTAATTTTTAAGTTTTTTATTTCATGCTTTTTAGTGATATTCTTATATATAACAGATGACGCAAAAATTATTAAATATCTACGTAAATAAAAATATTTAACGCAGTAAGTCGTAGAAGAAAAAATATTGTTTAATTACTCGACATATTGTTTTCCAATAATTTAAATTCGTATTTTTAAGAGGAAAGATTTCATTGCTTGTATGTTTGCATTGGATAGGCCCCGAAACTATTGGACCGATTTATAAGTCTTTTATCTACGGGAAGCTATATAATACGCGGAGAACATCCTATTAAGATTATAAATGTGAAAGTTTCTTTGTTTGGATGTTTGGATGTTTGTCCGTCAATCACGCCGAAACTGATGAAATTTGATATACAGATAGGATATTAGCCGACTTAGATAATAGGATACTTTTTATCCCACTAAACATTTCCCTAGGGTCCACGCGGGCGAAGCCGCTGGCGAAAGCTAGTAGGCTATAATTTACACAAACGAAGTCGCGGGGAACAATTCAAGAAGAAATTTTGTAAAATTAGAACCCGAATTCAAATTCACATCAAAAGCGGCATCCGTTTAACCTTGAATTGGTAATAACGTTTCATGAGTGTGACTTAGTGATAGAATACTTGAAACACTTATAATTAACAATTCTGTTTTGTATTTTCATACAAAGTATTCATAAAACAATTTATACACAGTGACATAATTTATTTATTTAAGCTTTATTGCACAAATTAAAATGTACAAATGGCGGACTTAATGCCATGGTGGCATTTTCTACCAGTCAACCGGAGAGTTGTAGCAGAGAGCTTAAAAAAAGGCGGTGCAACTATGAAACAGAGAGCCAAACACTTTCAATGTAAAAAATTAAATTACAACTACATGAGTGAATTACAATTTTCGGATTTCTACGAAATCGTTCCACAGATTTTGAACGATTTCTAAATACGCAATCTTTTATTTAATAAGCTGAAATGGGCCATGTCATATTATATTAATATATGTTGCGTATTTTATTTTGTTATAAAAGGAAAAGCATTTATTCAATTTCTAAAAAAAAAATTAATGGGACCACCTCGATCCACAGCTGTCGAATAAAAAAAGTTTTGAAAATCGGTTAACAATGGACGAAAATAACAAATATAATAAAATAAAAAAAAATGGCGATCTCTTGATATTTATATGCCTATTCGATGTATAGATGTAATTATGTGTTAATTTATTAATATTGTTGGTATGTTATATTTTGTAGTATATTTATGATAAGTTTAGTATTATTGTTCTTGTAGTATTATTTAAATTACTCACCTATTTTTATTCTCCCAAAGGTTGACTGGGAGAGAATGCTATTAGCATTAAGTCCGCCTTTTGTACCATACTTCTATTAGCCAATAAAGTTCATTAAATATATAAACCATACATCGCTGTCGAACATATAACCTCCTTTTTGATTTTGAAATCAGTTAAAAAAGGCAATTCTTTGGGTTCATATTCTCCTTCTTTTTATTAAAATACTACAGGTAAAGATGTGATTATATAGAAAATTAGGGTAAATTTGTGATTCTTATTATACTCGTACCTATATAGACGAATAAGAGAAATTTCTTGAGTACACGTAATAACTGATGCAAATATTTTAAATCAATAAATATGATATGAATTAAGTAGGAACTGTCAAAAGTTAAAATACTATTACTAATAGCTTAATATATTATATATAATATAAATTCCCATTTATACGAAGATTGTGGTTCAAATTATTTGCTTATACTCGAAAAAAGGTTTGTCGCATCATCATTGACGAAGATCGTTTGATTTAGTTTCTTTTATTTTAATTGCTAGTTACTCGATTACTTAATTACTCGATTGTAAAGAGAGCGTGATCATCGATACTTTTAATTTTATTAGAATGGTGACACTGACTTTGACAGTTCGTTTATAAAAACCAAGTTGCCGCCATTTTGGCACACATTCTGTTTCCGACCGCCGAGGAGTAAAGACATCCGATGACATCACGCTCATCTCGTTATATTTTCGTAGAAAAGTGATAAAATGGAACAAATCCACGTTGGTATACACGCCTGCAGTGTTATTTTAAAGATAGTCCTCCGATATGGACGATCTATTTGGGCTTCGTAATAGCCCATTCGGACTACCCGTCGTTATCAGAAGTGGGATGTAACCGACCAAGTGGATACACAGATGTCATGGATATGGAGAATCTTGTTGCGGTAACAAAATCAAAACTTTTTCGTCCTCATCCACGTAAGTCACATGTGCCGTCGTCGAATCACATGTGCATCTGCCCGAACTCGATCCTGGCAAAGTGAGTGTGGACGTAATATTTCTGCCTGTCGATACAAGAAGAACACTTGAAGCCTTCGTAGGGAGAACCAAGCGTTCCTGATATGAAGAACAGTTGCGGAACAGATGGTCACTACTCTCAAGATACCTGTAGCCGAAGAAGATGCAACGGTGGCAAAACTGATGGCTCGTCTGCTGGCATTGTTAGTGAGCGACGTGTAGACGTCTGCATCATTGCTACCCTTGCTAGTATTTTGCAGTATTTTGGTGAGTCGTTTTCATTTTGTTATGATACTGGAGTCGAGTGCTCCCTTATAAAGTAATTAATATCGTGAAGAGTTCATGGCAATCGAATTAGTAACTCTTAAAATCACTAGTTAAGTGAAAATAAAATTGAAAAAGTGTGATTGCATTGCTGGTTAAGTGATGCAATCGAGGTTCTCAAACCGGTTTGTTGTTTATGAATAATTTCATTGTAAATAAGATTTGATGATAGGATTTATCAACTCTTAAATTCTTATTACTAAAGAAACTTAAAGTAAAAACGGTCTCTAATTAATAAAGTTTCGATTGGTTTCAAATTCTTACTTTAGTTAAAGTCAGGACTGACCGAGAAAAGAATCTACCGCGCTGCACATCAATTAGATGCCTAGTAAATGGTTAGTGGTATTGTTAGGCACTCTATATTTCTCGCTGTTTGATAGAGAGATAACATTTTCATGAAAGTTCAATTCAACAATCAAAAATTTCTTATGAAAAGACTGTATAAATCCCATCCTATGAACTTCCCAACTTTTAAGTCGTTTCACAGAGCCTCTGGGGACCACGGTCATAAATAAGGCCCAGACCCCAGCATCGTCCTTCCCGTTTCCTTTAGAGCCTCTGTGGACCACGGCGCACAGGACCGCTCATGACCACAGCCTCAAATACCTTATGAGCAAAAAAAAAAAACAAAACAAAAAAAAAAAAATAAACAAAAAAAAATCTTTTAGAGCCTCTGGGGACCACGGTCATATGTAAGACCCAGACCCCAGCATCGACCTTTTCCCCATCTCCTTTAGAGCCTCTGTGGACCACGGCGTACAGGACCGCTCATGACCACAGCATCATCCTTGCTACGAGTACAATAATCATGCAAGTATGCGTGGAGCAGTTGCATTGACCAAATAAACTTAATAAAACAGCTCATTTCCCTATACAATCTATTCGTTAGAAAGTTACATCTGCTAACTTAACTACAGTTTTTATAACAATTGTGATAAAATACCCGTTGGTAATGAATTTGATGTTTAAAAAAATGATGGCCGAAATCTTGTTCAAATCAAAATTCCCAAATGACTAGGTTTACAGATACCTAGCTCAGAAAAGCTTTCGTATTTTGTTACAGAAACGCGACTGGCGCAGAGCACGCACCGTCTCCCAGAATGGCCGTGTCGCATCATCATTGCGAAGATCGTTTGATTTAGTTTCTTTTATTTTAATTGCTAGTTACTCGATTACTTAATTACTCGATTGTAAAGAGAGCGTGATCATCGATACTTTTAATTTTATTAGAATGGTGACACTGACTTTGACAGTTCGTTTATAAAAACCAAGTTGCCGCCATTTTGGCACACATTCTGTTTCCGATCGCCGAGGAGTAAAGACATTCGAGGACATCACGCTCATCTCGTTATATTTTCGTATGAAAAGTGATAAATGGAACAAAACCACGTTGGTATACCACGCCTGCAGTGTTATTTTAAAGATAGTCCTCCGATATGGACGATCTATTTGGGCTTCGCAATAACCCATTCGGACTACCCGTCGTTAGATACGATATGTTATATTTATGAATTACAGTAAATATAAAAATTGAAATTTGTCTTGTTATACAAATGTTCTTCTTCGTGTTTTAAATAAGTCATCACAAGGTTTGTTGTACCAAGATGACAGAATTAATTGATTGATACAAAACAGATGAAAAATTGCGATTTTGCGAAAAAAAACATCTTCCAATATATTCTGTTTTTATTATATTAATATTTTTAAACTTTAAATGCTTTATTATATAAAACTTAGAAAAAAACTCAATTGTCTATTCCCCTTCTCCGTATTATTTAGTTGATTCTTTTTTCAACTTTCTTTATAAATATCTTTTGTTGGCTTGTTACATTTCGCAGTTGTACAAAGTGCGTTACCATTTGATAAGCAGAAGCAGTAATTACAGTCCACCTTGTAAGATAAACCTTTCGGACAAGCTGGACCGTTTTGATGTACAGGTACTATATCAACCGTAATAGGATCTGTAGTCTTCTTGCAAATGTAAGAAGTGCATTTCACTGTTTTCCCATCCGATAAGCAAGTGCAATTATTACAGCCGTTTCTATAAATACGCAGAGGTTCGCAGTACCCATGCAAAGAATCTAAATCGTCCGATCTATACTCATCTCGTTCTTTATTTTTCTCTTTGCATGAAGGATTGACGCGACACAACTGTGTTTTCACACCGTTCACATCAATGCAAGTGCATATCAAGCAGTTTAACTCATACATAGTACCCTTGACGCAATCCTTGTGGATAAAACTTTCGGGGCTCGATCTCCTTGCGCAGTCTTTCAAAGTGCAACCAAAGAATTTCATACCTTTTATATCACCGCAGTAACATACGTTACAATCCTTTCTGTAAACATAACCCGGTGAACAATCCTCTTCGGTGAAATGATCGTTACTCGTCGCAATACTATGAGTAATGTTCATATCGGCTACCGACTCCTTTTGGGTGATACAATTTTTGACTGTACAATAAGCAATGCCTTCTTTGTCGCAATAACATAAGTTGCAATCCCTGCTAAAGGGTTGGCCTGGTGTTACGTGATCGCAGAACGATTTTTGTGTATCCTCGAATGTCCTATTTATATCCATACAACTACTACAGAGAAGTCTGTTGTTTCTAAGGCAATTGCAGTTTTGACAGCCGAATTTGTATTTCAATTCGGGCTGACAGTCAGCGTAAACTTCTACTGCGTGCTCGAAAACCGTCGTCTCTTGAGATTCTGATTCTTCATCATATTTCAAGACTGGATCGTTCTTAGAACATTTCCTTTTAGTACACAAATCAGGATCTAGTCGTCCATTAGAAGGGCAAATACAAGCATTGCAGCCGATCAAATACAGCTTATTTTGATGGCATTCCTGTCCTTTAGCTACTGATACACCGGTGACTTCTATTTCATGCAGGATCCTAAAGACGTCCCTGCATACGGGATTTGGCCAATTACCATCCTCATTGCAGATACATACCAGGCCACCTCTGCGGTATGGGATGAGTGGTTCACAAGCAGTCTTAGTACTCCTCCATGAACCGCGACCTTCCATTCCTGGGTCTAATTCTTGAATTGCATCTACGTGACACATAAAAAAACATTCATCATCATCATCATCAGTCCTTTTACGTTCACACTGCAGGGGATCAGACCTTCCTTTTGGATGGTTAAGGAGGATGGGCCATGACCCTCCATGCTAGCACAATTCGGATTTGAGGGTATTAACGACTGCAAATGCAGCCGGGACCAACGATTTAACGTGCCTTCCGAAGCACGGAGTAGATCGAGTATATTAATTTTTTGCTCACCCATCCCGTGACCGACTTGCGAAAGTTGCTTAACGACAACGATCGCGGGCCGCGACGCTTATCCATTACGCCACCGAGCTACTCAGAAAAACACATATCTACTTATCTACTTGCTATCGTATAGATATTAGAAAAAAATAACTGTTATCAATTTAAACATAAATGATGCCAGGAATATAGAAACAAAATAGTGAGGGCAAAAGTAAATGGAGGAAGAGTGATTTCTTACAACAGTGATATTACCAAATGGACTTACCATTGAAGTGCCCAAACATGTCAACTTCTGAGCAAACCCTGGCGTTGCACGTGTACTCAGATTGGGAGTTGCAGCGACACCAGTTGCAGTCGTTTAGAGCGCGAGATTTAGCATTACATTTTCCCCGCCATCTCAGCTCAGCCACCGCTTAAAAAAGACAAAGGGACGTCATATATATAGTGTGGCTACAACACCTCCAAGACAGTAACAATTCATTAACTATTTTGGAATATTCGCGGTATCACTCGATGTGGCGTACGTATCGTGACGTAATTAAGATACCGTCGATATCGAGTAAGGCGAGCGAGCTTTTGACATGCACTTCTCGTGTTGCTTACTCCTCGTTTCATTGGCACATGGAAATATTAAAATAAATCTTCTAGAATCGTTGTTGTATTATTACTGTGTTCCTGGTGATGCGGCCGTAATAGCAAGCCATAAGGGAACGACTTCTATATGTACTCATGTGAGCTTGACTATAATAGAATCAGGCATTATCTTGCGGAAGTCCATTGCATTATTTCTTTTATTAGGTACTTAAATTCCCCGAACAAAGTTAGCACATAATTAAGATACCTTTATCACATGTTTGTATACGTGTACAAAGAATGACGAATCATACTTTGCTTCGGACTTTGATGTGACTGGCACTGCATGGTCTAACAACTGTTTGACCATTACAGTACCAGTAATCAGGAGCTCTTGATGATATTGGAGAAACTCGTGTAAAGCAGTTATTAATGCTGCCCACTTATAATAGTTTTATATTCTTTATCATTCGTTTTTCGTCATTAAAGTACATTAGAAAGTATTTAAATAAAACTAAATATCGTAGTAGTAGACCTACGCTCTGACGACCATAAAAGCTATGGGAAATATGCTCCGGACTATGCAGATGAATGTTTTTGCAGTAGCTATTAGTATATTGAAACTTACGTTTTTGATGTTTCAACATGTCCACCATGAAAAAATGTAGCCATAATATCAATGCACATAGCACGATCATTTTTACTAGGTCGTTATAAATCGCTATTATACGACTTCATTTTAATAGGAAGTCAATATAAATCAAGATTAGAATTCAAGTTCAGTTATTTCCTACTTTTCTTTCTATTTTAATGTTGATTGGTTTTTAGTCTACGTTGATGTTTCATGGTAATTTTGATCGAGTAATTAAACAACTTCGCATTAGCTATATTTATTTTTTTAACTTTAAGACAAGTCACGATCCAAAAATGCTTTAGAAAATGTTATTTGAAAAATTAATACATACAAATAAGATGTCTATTTTGTTTCATTATGACAGGAGAATTACATCCTATTAATATTATAAATGTGAAAGTTTCTTTGTTTGGATGTTTAGATGTTTGGATGTTTAGATGTTTGGATGTTTGTACGTCAATCACGCCGAAACTACTGAAGGGATTTTGATGAAATTTGGTATACAGATAGGGTGTTAGCTGACTTAGATAATAGGATACTTTTTATCCCACTAAACATTTCCCTAGGGTACATGCAGGCGAAGCCGCTGGCGAAAGCTCGTTAAGAATAATTGTAGTAAAAAAGAATCTACTGAATGGCGGCGTCAAGAAATGACCATACAGTTAAAATGTATATTTAAGCTACAGATACAGAAATCATTAATTGTTAAATACTTTTTTACACACACAATTACTTTGAATTATATTTGTCACTGTATCACCCGTAAAAGGCTGTCGTGATTGAAGATATTTACAAAAAAATGTTTCAATAAAATTTTGCAAGCAAAGACCCACTTTCCGATTTTCGATCAAGTCAAAATTTTGCATTCTGTATCATTCATAACCCAGTTTGGTTCCGTCAACTATGGCTTAGAACTGTTTTGTTTTTTGTGGGTACAATAGCAATAAATAAAACACTTATATCATTATTTTCTTTCCTAAATTTGTGTCACCGAAGGGTTTTCGGAATTTTACATTGTTGCTGTTGTGTTACCGAGTCAACATTTCCTGTTTTTTTCTGTCATAGTGAGCGAATATTGTTTAATCTGAAATTATAGTCTTTGCTCATTGTTTGTGATTGCAAAACTGATATAGGTATAGCCAGCGTTGCATCGCTCGCACATTTTGTGTACCTCGCACTACGGTACGAGATGCCATCAGACGATTTAGGGAAACAGGCTTATACAGCACAAGGCCAACATCTTTGCACTTTGAATCGAGATAACCGTCCGTGAGTGTATGTAAGACGGTTGACAATCCAATATTAATTTGAAGATGGGGCCAAAAGGGACCAATGTAATCTAAATTAAGCAAATAACTTTGGGGTTGTTTGATTTGTTTTGAGAAGGTTTGGACCGAGATGTGCAAAATCTGATGTTGAAATCATAACTGAAGTATTCGCGAGTGTCAATGGCAGTTAAATTGATTACTCTTTTTTTCATCTTCTTACGTTCCGTGGAGTACGGGTCACGCAATACTTCAATAATTCCCTGATCATGGCATGTGCATCGGTAACGAATATTGGAGAAAATGTGTATAAGGTAGTACTTATAAACAATGCCGTGAAAAATTAACGCTCTAAAGGAAAATATACAAAACGCTAATGAATTCCGTTTAAACTATACATATGTAAAAGGAGATGTCTTGACATAATGTTGGACAGATAACGCAGTTTTAATAAATTTTTTGGAAATTCCACCCCGGAGGGGGCTTAATATACGTTTTATAACGTTTATATGAACTTTGTTTATGTCCCTATATGAATGACAATTGGTATTTGGGTAGTTTAATTATATTTTATCCCGAAATCCACCACCACCACGTAAAGGCATGAAAATGGGAGTGAAAGTTTTTACGGGGAAACAAAATGTTACCTCAGCAATCATTGTTTGTAATTTGATTAATTGAATAGCAAAAATGACATCCTAATAGGTATTTTTTTATTTTATATACTAACTATGAAAGAAAACACAAGAGTATATTTTGTGCTATACTAGATGGCATTAAGTATATTTCGACATCACACTATTTTGATTTAAAGTTGGGTTTTAATTTTTTTTTTAATTTAAAAGGAGGGTGACGACTGGGTAAAAAAAAAATCTATTTGATCCGTCATTCAGGTAATAAAAAAATATAAGATACGTATTTTTTGCTTCAATTTAAACAACAAATGGTTTAGATAACAGGCATTAAAGTTGAGTAGTCGGGGCTCGATACGTCACAATTTTGTAAAAAATGTGCAAAATCGTGACGTCACTCGACATTTCAACTCAATATATCGCCGTAATTTATTGATTACGCAATAAAAATAAAAAAATAACCTATATAATATTCTTTAATAATCTACCTGACGGACAAACAAACAAAAATTTGTCGTCATCCAAATTTAATTTACTTCGTGATATCATCATCATCAGCCCTATTTACGTCCCCACTGCAGGGTCTCAGGCCTTTCTTATGGGTGGATGGACTGCAAATGCAGCTGGGACCAACGGCTTAACGTGCATTCCGAAGCACGAAGTAGCTCGAGATAATAATTTTTTGGTCACCCATCCCGTGACCGACCCTTGCGAAAGTTGCTTAACAACTGTACCGCACACCGAGAGCGCTAATCACTGCGCCATCGAATGCCTCTTACTTTCTAAGTTCTATTTTATATTTCAAATAAATTCACCTATTTGAAATATAATGTACTAAGAAAAAACTTTACGCTTTCCTATACTAGATGGCGTTAATTCATAAATAAACGTTCAAAGAATTTTTCGATTAAATTTTGTATCAACTTTACATTTGTGTTTTTCTTTCAATATTTTTTTCAAATTGGATAAATAGCTATAAGGTTTTCAGTGATAAAGTACTGAAATCTTAAATCTGAAACATACCTATTGGACATTAGTCGGCTAATTACATATGTGGCTGTTGCTGTACTTTAAATAAATAAATTTAGCTTCTTGTTATAGTACCTTTGAAGTTGAATATCAAAGTTATATTATACTAATATTGTGGTTATTTTGCTAATAATAAAATTAATAATTGTGTTTCGTATCGTGATTCAGTTACTTTCCTGGGCTTTGAACAACCCCACTGCAGAAGGACGTTGAGATTCTTACTCAGCTGATTGACATTTAGCCGTGCAAATGAATAGCGATATTCTATTATAGGGCTAGCCGCCTAATTGGACGGATGCTTTACTCGGTGAGCGGTGGTATATTCGATACAACATATTCAATATTGTTTTCATTAGTTCACACAAGATCCTCTCAATTTAAACTCGAAAAAAAAACAGCTGTGAGTTGAAAAGTCGCCCAAGCAATTATGATTTATATTGTTTTTAGTCTATTTATTTTGATAACTGTATGATTATCTCTTATTATGTATGTATATGATATAATGAGCGAATCCACTTAAAGTTGATGACTTGGGATAGGACATAGATTACTTATTATTGTGATAAAAAGTTTGAAAATGAGATTTAAAGTTCGTATGAAAATTGACAAAGATAAAATCGTGAAATTTATATTCAAATATACATAATATTTGTTTTAGCGTTTTTAGAAATGCTGCCCTTAGTAATACAATACCACGCGGAAGAAGTGGCAGGCAAAAGCTAGTACCTTATTTATAACACAAAACGCTTAATGATAAACAATTTCTGTTTTTGAAATTTTTATTTTAATCCAACAAAATTTAAAACTCACGCACTTCAGTCTACATTTGACTAAAATTGCATAATTTAATAACATTTTTATTTTATTATTATGGAAGCAAAAGACAGAAAACTATTAAATATATTCAGTGGAATTAACATCATCAACGTGCCTCTAATCACATTTTTTGGCCGTACAAAGCAGTTTAGCATTATTCAGACAAAAGCATGTATTACATTCGATTACATCTATAGTACCAGGCGTGCATTTCTTATTTGGGTTTAGTGTTACCATGGATCTTCTGGCTGCTAAGTTTTTCAATACTGTCCCTATTACGGATGGCAGATTTACTTGCATATTAAATGCAACGTCGTCAAATCTCACTTTATGCTTGTGCCCCGTCGGATCTTCTGAATCTTCCACTGCATTTACAGCAATTTTCAGTTCATTTTTGCCAATAGGCTCCACACTGTCAGATTCTTCTTTGTCTTCCTCTTGATCTTGTCTTTCAATTATCTGCTCTCTAAAATTGCCTTTTCTTTCTATTGGTTGTTGTAGATTTGGATAAATATCGTGCCTTCCAAATTTTTCTTTATAATCTTCTTTCCTACCTATCGCCTGATCATGATAATTTACTTTTTTTTCTAATTCATGTTTATTATAATTTTCTTGATTTTCTAATGCATACTTATTATAGTTGTCTTTCCATTCTAATACGTTTTTGTTATATTTTTGTCTTTCTAATGCGTGCTTATTATTAACTTTTTGTCTTTCTAATTCTTGCTTATCATAATTTTCTTGTCTTCCTAATGCTTGCTCTGGATAATTAACTTCATAGTGAGGTTCTGGTTTTGCAATTCTTTGTTCATGATAAGTTTTTTGTTTTTCAGTAATTTTTTCAAAAGAGTCGTCTCGTGCACTAACCACCGTCTCTTCTTGTGATTGTGCACTAGCCTCATACTCTTCCTCATCGTCATATGGAAGTTTGGTGCTGTCCTTGTAAGGTATTATATCATTTTTTATTTCTAATCCTTTATCTTGTTCTTGTTTACTGTCGTCAGATTCAGAAGATGTATTATCGGCGACAATATTTTGATTATTCTTACTCGGCTCTTTAACTTTATTATCTTTATCTACGTTTATTATCATGTGTGTTTTCGAAATAGCTGGTTGTACTGAAGGTTTAGGAAAAAAGTTTGGTTTAGGGCTACTAAGTTCAATTTGTTGGTCTACTTTATCAATTTCGTTACCTTGCCGCAGTAAAATTTGATTTTCATTCTCCATATCTCTCAATTCTTTTCCCAAACCTTTTCCACAGATATTAAGACTATAAGCTCCTAGTTGAAGGTAAATTTTGTTTGCCATTGATCTCGTACCGGTGTTGCATACTAATTTGTTGATGTTTACACAATAGCAGAATTGACAAGGTGCTAAAGAATACCAAGTGCCACTTTCACAATCTCCGTAAAGTTTGTTATTATCGTCAGATTGTCGACGACTAGAACTCTTGTGGCCATCGCATTCATTCTTGGTGCAATGGTTTTCGTCTACATTACCTTCTGGATCGCAGCGGCAAACGTTGCACTCTACTTGCACATAAGTGTTGGGTTCGCAACTGTTCTTTACTTCTTTATTTTGAGATAGCGACTTCAGTTCTTCATTACATTTAATATGGGGCCAAGTTCCATTTTTGTTGCAGATGCATGTCATATTGCTGTATTCGTAAACTGTGTTTGGTTGACATACTTTGTTGATATAGCCTGCTTGATTAACTGCAAAAATGAAGTATATTTTTTACTTAATAAAACATATTTTGTTACAATTTTTTTTGGCAAGCTCCTTGGTCTATAGAAATTGACAGTAGTCCAAAAACTAGATGATTAGCGCATTTACTTTGCGGTAGTAGTATAATAACCTTATTTCTCAAGATTCTGTCGTTAAATAGGAGAAGCACGAGATAATAAACCTCCGTGCTTAGGAATCCATATTAAATTATTGTTCCAAGCTGTATCGTGCGGTCGTTAATACCAATCAGTACACATTGACCCACACGGTAGATTATGACTCGTTTCCACCCTTTGCCTATTGCCAGGTCTTTGCCGCAGCAGTGAGGACGTTAATAGTCTGATGATGTACCATTATCCATGGTGGTAACAGATGATTTGTCCTTGACGACACACTCATAAACGCTTTTGCGTGAACAGACACATATGACGTCATCATTTTCTGATACAGTACCGATGGGACATGATTCGGTATATCTCACATTGTCTGAAAAAATAAATAATTATCGATTTTACAGTTAAATCATTTGAGAATTAATATTACAAGTCTCTCATTTCATATCAGTAAATAACGTTTAATTAAAAACTCTATAAAAAAATCTCATTATTTTTACGATAGAAACAAAAAGAAATTTAAATAAGTAACCATGGCTCCTAACATGTGTTACAAGACTTACACCTTTGTAAACAGCTAGGATTTGAAGTTTTCAACCGAAAACCAGGTGTGCGACCAAATAAATACCTAGCCATAGGATATGACGAAGCGAATATGACGATTATTCTTTTCATTTTACTGCTTTGTCATGTCTTTTAGTAAATAAATTGTTGTTTGGTAAAATAACTAAGTTGGAAATAATGCTGTCAAATCCTTATTCATCATTCTTTATCGGTCGTTTTTCGTTACTAAAGTGCATGTTAAGGTAGTAAAATGAAACAGAATAGCACTATAACATCGTTAAGATATCGGATCCTGCAGCTAGAAGAGTTAGGCTGTCGCTCTTCAGGACATAAAAGTCCCTTCAGTTAATTGGAACTACATTTAGGGACGGATAATAATCCTGGGTATTTCCTGCTATTATAAATGTTAAAAGCTCTACCAATTTTCGGATGGGAGATCACGTCTTTCAATAATATAGTTAAAAAAATGAACCATATCACCACCATTATTTGAAGTTGCTTTTGATTGTTTGATACGCTTCTAATGGGACATAAAATTAATTAAGACCATACAGAACATAAGATTAAATGCGCTATTAATATTTAATTAACCATTTCATTGCCGTCTTATAAAACTTTACGGTAATTAATTCGATTATGTAGGCTAAATCTCTGGCCATAACAGCAACCAGAGGCTACATTTTACTAACAGGCATTGGGGCGATTAAAGTGGCAATGAATGTAATTAATGCCGGCATGACTACATAAACTATTCTGCTTTTTCTTCTAATCAATCTCCACCGGCTGACTGTATCACAGGTGGTCACGTCTTGAAACGCGATGCTTAATCTAATATTTATAAAAATCTAATACATTTTCTAGTTCTCTTAAAAAGACTTTGGATAATTTCAATAGCTTTATTTAATAGCGTTTCACGAAAAATCATAGTTAACAAATAAAAAAACCTTTTACTTTCTTTTTCGTGATATACTTTTAGCATAGCCGTTACAGCGTAATTGTTTCTTGCATAATAAATAATAATTTGTCGCAATTTTTTTCGTATACAATTATGTTCGCATATTTATGTTTTAGGCTAGTTTTATTGAATAATTTTATTACGTATACTTAATGTTCCTAAATATGAAGTAAACGATCAATGGGCTAGGTTGCTTATTTAGAATTATTACCAAAAAACATAGACGAGCTATCGAGCTTAGAGGGTATACCTATAATTCTCTAAGGAAGCGAGTGCTGCAGCAGTGACTGCCTGCAGAGTCATAATGTATGCTTATATATTATTGTACTTCGCAAAAGACACAAAAATACGCCATGTCATATTATGTATTCAGATTTTATACAGGTGGATAGGTAACCGTTAATTAGTTAGTTAATTATCTGTAGTAAAATGTAGAATTTTTGACTTCGTACCACTTAACTTGATGCCATTTGCTGGCACTTGTTTAAGACCCTCAACGATATTAAAATTAATACACTCCAATCAAGAAACCAGTACAACTTTATTAACTGTATCCAAAAAAGAGGCTTTTGCATTCTCGCATTCATCCGCGTCGCTTTTGAAGCAATGCTCTTCTATTATAACATCATGTTTGCATTCACAGATGTAGCATTCATCGAGGACTTTGCCAGGTTTTGTACATTTATATATTGTATGATTATGAGGTATTGGCGATTCGTCGACTTCTGTATCAGCAACGGTTGTGCCTGTATTATCTGTTGAGAAAAATAAAGTTATGCTAGCATCTCGAACGTTTTGAACAGTTTTAGATAACCCAAAGTTCTTAGTTAATGATGCTTTATGGATTTTTTGTCATGAGTATATATTCTAGACTTAAAAAAAATCATGTGTTCCAAAATTAACGAGGGCTATCAAAAAGCTTTTTATTCACTCAAAGGTTTAATAATCCCAAGCTGTATTCAACAGTCAATATACCTAAATCATTCAACTATAGAGAGAGAAAGTATTGTCGCTCAAAATTATGATGTTACTAATATTACAATGGTAGTAGGTTATTTTACCATCCTAATATGTACATTAGGATCTTTAGTATAGATGTTTCTTTGATTATGTTTATTATCATTACTTACCTTCGCCAGTTCGTCTCCCCATCGGTAAATAATTGAAATACGGATAAGCTTCTTCACAATATTTACCTCTCGGCAGAGATCGGCAAAAATAGTTTATGTTTCCCAAGTATGGACAAATACATTGTCTACATCTGCACAAACATATATTATTTCGTATTAAAATATCTACATGACCCTATGTCCGACTGAAGTGACATGTTGCTTAGCTTGTTCAGTCTGTGATTCTGAGATGCAGAACTTAAGCAACTTTCGTAAAGTAGGATGGGTGACCACACTAGGCTCAAGTAGTTTAATAGGTAATGAGTGTTACTGATCGTCCATCTTTAGTGCAATAAAGAACTTAACTAAGTTAGGACACACACTTAAATATAAATCACTCAAATAACGCTTACAATTTATTTATATCCATTATGTACATAATAAGTGTAACGAGCCTAAAAATAATGGCTACTTCTTATGGAACTAATTAGTTCCAAATGGATAAAAGTACTGTCAAGTCATTATATAAGGTGTGTGGGTGAAAACTCTGGTGGAAATACTAGTAGCTTAATAGATTTTAACTTACCTTATGATGTAAACTGAACCTGGCGTGCATTCTTTCCTCTCTGAACTATCAGTTAAGTTATATGTAAAACAGTTTTTAATTTTCTCATACTCTGGTTCGTCTATTTTTAACTGGTCATGTGCGTGTTTGTGCCTTTTTCTCCTTACTAAAGATCGTTCACTGGTTTGCTGGTTGTAATAACTTGCATTTGTTTCCTATAAGATTTAAAAAATTAATACTGGCTACTTTTTTTTTGATACGTTTTTTGAATTACCGATTCGACTCCTATCTAGTATTCGAGATAATTTTTGTTGGTTTCAAGTTTTTTCTTTAAGATAAAATGATAATAATTATGATGATTGTGTATGATGACCATCTGTAACTAATCTACCTGTCACTATTTCAATACTTACATCTAATCTGTTGTTATCTTGATTATTTTTCTCATCACACACATCGTCTGAACATGTCGCATGAGATTTCAACCCCACATCTGGACATACGCATATCCTGCAATCAATTTCGAATTCTTCACCAGAGAAACAAAAGTCTAAATCCTGTTTCACCACTGGCGCCGCCTGAATCGTTTTACTATCTAACAAGCTTTGAGATAATCTAAATATTTTTCTCCATGGAGTATCTAGATCAGAACACTTGTGTCGTGTACATACTCTGTCGGCTTTGTTGCCATTAGGTGGACAAACACATACGTTGCATTCATTGCTAAAGAATTGTCCAGGAGTGCAGCTGTCAGACCTTAAAATGGTCTTCTCGCAAACCTTTTTCGTACATTTTTCCACGTTTTTAACACCATCATGAGGACAAAGACATACATTGCAATCTACCAAATAATAAGCAAGAGGTTCACAAACAAATTTTTCATCATACACTTCTTGGAAATCAGAACATACATTTTTTGTGCAAGCCCTCTCTTTGGCAATACCACTTTGGGGACAAATGCAAAAATTACATCCGACTCTCGTTACTGATCCTGGTACACAGGTATCGTTGATTTTGTCAATCACCGAGTCGCGCAATGAAGTCTGACCAATTTGAATGATTCTTTTAGCGTCACAATCATCGTTGGTACACCATTTAGGATCTATTTTACCGTTCTTACCACAGTAACAGGTGTTACAGTCGATCTCCACAAATGAACTCGGTTCGCAAGAAATACTGAGACTCGTATTGACAGCTATGCTAGAAAATGCATCATTCGGTTTATTTATATTAGTATCTTCAATAATCGATGTGCATAGTTTGAAATTGGTGCTACCGTTTTCTGGGCATAAACAAAATCGATTGTGGTCTAAATAAACAGAATTAGGTTGACAACTATCACCCTCAGAGGTATGTTGGATATATTCTTTTTCTATTATTTCAGTGTTACCTTGATTATCCATTAACATTTTTTCAAGAATACTAAGCTTACTTTGATAAGAGCATACTTGGGAACAGTAGGATTGGTTGGTCAGTTCACCTCTTAAACAAAAACATTCTTGACATATTGGAACCATTTCACCTGGACTGCAGGTTTGTTTGGTAAGATCGTATTTGAAATATTCACTTTTAATGCAATCTGACTCTAGGCAAGCGTTTTCATTCAAGTTACCATTTGCATCACAAGTACAATAAAAGCATCTCGGCTTAGCAAAAGTGTATGGCTGACATTTTCTACGAACAGTTTTTAGCGATTCGAGTGATTTATATGAAGATGCCTTGTTACAAATATTTTTAGTACAATATTTGTCGTCTGCCACACCGTCTTCCGTACACCAACATACATTACAATCTTTCATGTAGAATGTTCTGGAGATACATCTTCTAGTCATTTGAGATTGTTGTGGTCGATGGCAAGTTTCGACACATTGATTAAGAATAAAATATCCTCCATCAGAACACAAGCAATGGATACATGAAAACAAGTACATGACTTTTGGTATACAAATGTTCTTATTGATTGAAGTCAAAAAATCAGAATTCGACGACGGTTGATTCGGGCACGAATGATCTTTGACACAGTGGGCTTCAGATGTTTTACCTGTAGCTGAACAAACGCAAATACTGCAGTTGACATAAAACGACTTGTATGGCGTACACCAAGAGTATGTGGAATCGTTGTTTACAGAAAATTCAAAATTGGGTAAGATAAGATCACTTTTGTGAGTATCTTCTGAGGATGTATCACCATAACATGCTTCGTTATTGCATATTAATTGTTGATTCTCTTGACAGATGCATTGATTGCAGCCTTGCCATATAATTTGACCGGGTGTGCATGTACGGCGGCCGATAGCACTGCAATCAGATTTATTCCACCATCCTTCCTTATCGCAGAAGCACAATTGTCCATTCAATACGAACTCCGTGTTTGGAACGCACGCATCTAACGAAGGAAGACAAATGTGAATAATAGATTATATCAAAAGGATCGCGATGAAGAATAACACTTACGTTTTGTGCCCAGTGCTATTTGAAACTGCGATGCTAAAGCTATAAATATCACAGACATCAACATGTTCTAAACTAAGTTAAATGCAAATGTTCCTTCTAAATAATGTAAAGAAAAAAAAATCACATGATACATAATAAATATAGAGATTCCAATTGCTGTTTTTAAATTCAATTTCCTTGAGCACCGATAAAGTTAATAGGAAATTTTAATTTGAAAGATATTCAAAGTTACAATCGTAGTCTCTATAAACCAAGAGTTGGTTATTAGAAATTACCTACGTTTTGCTTACGGATATACGAAAAGATACGAAATAACTAAAACTTACAAAAGTAGATTTTTTTTTTTAAACTATAATAAGGCGACGTTATGAAATAGCCATAGAAAATTTACTAATGGTAAAATAATAATTGTCTAAGGTTATTAATAAGTTACGGAAATCTAAAACGTATCAAAAATCGTTCTAAGTTTTTTGTGTGAAAGGACAATGCCAAGTTTCCATAGAAACTTCGGCCAGAACCGACAGACATGTGTGTTATATTATCAAAGAGGGCAAAAAATATAGAAAATTATAAGCACATTACATTTTTAATAAAAGCTCACAAAAAAAAGTTATATTCAAAAAAGTTTTTGTATTTTTTCAACAATAATCTACGTAGTTTTTCATTAAAACAGCCTATTTATATAGATTTATGAATTTTAGGTAAAGGACGAAACCTTTTAAGTCATAAAAAAGGATCAGTAAATTAAACACATGTAAAGATTTATATTTTTAATAACAAGTTGTATCATTGCTCTCATATTTAATTAATGAATTATCTAAAAATTGTGTTGGCAGTTCTATATTTAACTGATATCTAGCCCATCCTAAATACCTAATGTAAACACAGCAACCTACAGTTCTATACCCCACCAAAATTATTGTAGGTACACTGTGAGTACTTTCCCCGGAAGTCGTGACTGATATTATGTTATCATCATTAGAGTGCATTGGCAATTCTTGAGAAGATTTATCTGGAACATTTGGTGTAGAACTTGCAGATGATGTAGATGGTGCAGTATAATTTACAGTTAAACTATTACACCTTTGCCAACAAGGGTGACAAATTCTGTCTGATGATCGGAGCTGAAAATAAATAAATCATTAGAAATATTGTTACATAATCATTTTTTCAATGTGTAGAGCATTTATTCTAGATAAGACATGGTTTAGATTTTAATTTCGACCCAGGTAAAAACCCAATCAAACCCCATTGAGTGGGTTTCCAAATACATAATATTTGGGACAACTCACAACAATTATTTAGTGCAAACTAAGAAATCTCATACTATGGCAACTAAATAACACATAGAATATATAAATATGGATGATACAACCACGATGCAGGTACAAATATTTGTGTTCATCACACAAATACATGTCCCTACCATGGTTTGAATCCAGAACCTCTTGAGGTGCCACAACCTTAACTTCTGTGTAGACACCACTCCTCCACAGAGGTTGTCATTTGGGTTTCATTTTATATAAATATTTTCAATGTACAGACACCATCCCATTAGTTTTATAATACTATCTATACTTAATTACATGCTCGGTTTGTTTGTATGTGTTGCATTGCATACAATGCATAAGCATAATATAATGGTAAATTATAATCATCAAATAATTGACTTATTATTATTACTATAACTTATTAATTATAATTAAATCAATGTTGTTTGTACTTACTTGTTGTGGCAAAATCCTTTTTGCACCAACAGATCTTACATGAGATTTTTTGTCATTATTGTTGTTAACATACATTTTCATTACCAATTCGACTTATTATAGGCACTTCGTTTAGTAATAACCAACACTCATGACACACTGTTGGTTGGTATCTGTAGGTAAAATGTAAGAGTTAATATTAAAGTTTTATGTTATCTATGTTGATATGTAAATACCCACAGCATTTTAGTCGTACATGCATCGAAATACTTAGGTCGGGCAGAGAATTTCGTTGTTGGATTTCATCTCGGATGTTTACAGACAAATACTCTGTTGAGTGTCTTCTAATTCGAGTAACATTCAGGTCACAGTTGATACATCGCAGCATGATTCCAAAACCGTGAGAAAAAGCCGAGTCGACGAGAATAACAGGTTCAGTCCAAGATAAAAGACGAGTCATCAAGTAAAACAGATTCTGGCCCAAGTTAAAAGCCGGGTCAACAAGTAAAACAGATTCTGGCCAAAGTTAAAAGCCGGGTCAATAGATAGAATAAAAACGAAAAACAACAGAAAGCACTGAACAACAAAGTAATGTTTACTATTGACTATGACAATTAAAAAAAATGTTGCCATTATTGGATGTTAAATTGTTTTCAATCGATTAACATCGATTGTTAATTAATAATCAATAATATGTTATACCATGATTATTATATCTTTACTAATTACAGTTATGTAACATAATAAGGACAAATATTTTTGTGCAATACCAAAGAGAAAAATATTATAAGATGACGTATTTATTATATTTTTATTCACTTTCACAACTAATGATTAATTCATAACGATTATCGATTTTCGACAGATTAGGCATTTTAACTTTTTACTGGCAATTTTTTTTGTAAATGGCGTACTTTTCATGTTATAGTCGTTGATTAACTTTACAAAAATTACTCGTAACGGTGTGCTTTTTTTAAATCTATTAATAGTTGATAATTTAAACAATAATAAAATATAAACTGCAATCATAATGAATTGCTTGTCGGCGTCAAGCCGTATTTTGGCATTCTCCTTTACATAAACATACACGTATTTATGAATTGATATTTTACTGCTAATTTACTGCTTTTTTGCAACAAAAACCGTGCTAAGGTCGCTGCGGATACCCATACATATACTTATACTAACAAAAAAAATAATATCGTAATTAAATTTTATCAAACAGGGGGAGCCGGTTGTACGGTTCGTACTTTTTCTTATTATAACGTCCGGGCATATTACTATGGATTTACTCTCTAAACGATTTTTAAACAATGCTCGCCAAATTATAATATTTTGAAAATTTAATTTACGTGTTCGGAAATTGGCCTAGACGAGGCCAAACAGAGACAATCAACAAATAAAACATATTCAAACTTTTCTAAATTGGATTTTGGATTATCTCGGCTATTTGCCAAGAAGTTTATAATATTTTACGCTAATATGAACTAAGAGAACTATAGAATTTAAGATGGTTACTTTTTACCCGAATGCAAAGGAAAAGCTATGTTTCTCACGCGTATCTTGAATGTATGTATGTAATATTCTTTATTACCTTATATCTTCAGAACCGCTAAACGAATATAGATAATTAATTAAATAATCAAATATGGCGGCTGAGTGACGCCATTAGTTTATTGATAAAAAAATGTTATTGAAATATAATTAAAAGAAATTGTAGGATTTGTCCTATATTTTTTTATTACATTTTTTATTTAAGTGACTTTTTCCTGCAATAAAAAGGTATATGAATTTTACTGAAAATAATGGTTCTTTATTATATTGGGCGACTCTGAAAGTTTTTAATACTGGCACTCATACTACAGCACTGGCCACTTGTAGTCAATTAAAAAATTAAAAGCTCCGACTGTCAAAATTGTATCAAGGCTTGGCAAAACAAAACTTGTTTCTATTATTTTAAGCACGACTTTAACAGAAGTATTTTTTTTTTATTGTTACATTCGATCTCGCAATAGGATCCTCTCTTATCATTACAACACCTGGCAAACGATCTACTACTGTTCGTTTATTATATACTTTTCAAGCTGATTTTAGTTTTGAAATATTTAAACGGTAACAGGTGATATAAAGTAAAATATGGAAAAATTGCGAGGGAGATGCCAAAACAACAATTTCACTTGCCCACATAAACTACTTCAAATTAGAAAAGGTACACTAATTAATAAAAATAAAACACAGATTCTATTTGTCAAGTTCTGTTTTTACTTTATTATTGAAAAATTACAGAAGCATTGATAAACGTGTTATGATATACTACATCTATTTGAAATTAATCGAATTCCGTTAAACATGCAGTTTTTCATTTGATATATTCTACACAAGAAGAAAGTGGACATTTATCGCGTTCCTCCCGGTCTAATAATAATAGACGATTAAACTTACGATATTTTATCAACCATACCCAATTAGTATCTGGAAAATATTTGTACACCGCACGCAAATAAATACACGTGCACAAGTGGTGACAAATATAGCATGAGCATCAATATATGCTTTTCATAAAAGTACTCTTTGGCCTAAGAATACACCGTCGACAGGTGAAATGAAACACTTATGTAGGCGTATGGTGGCAGTTGCGACTCTTGTCGCCGCTTTCGTACGTATATTTATTTGCGGGTTATACACAAAATGGGACTTAGAAGTAATTTTTATGTATTATATTTTATTATTGCGTTCACAGTGCTATACTGATAAATGTATTCTTAATGAAAAATGCTTAAAAAATTCATTTTTAAGCATTAGTTTTATGTATTTCAATATACATAACTATCATTATGAAAATCCTACAGCTCGCTTGATTATATAGTCTGTGGTCTTGTCTTCTTGGAGTCTTATTTATAGCTATGATTGGCAGATAAATATATAATTAGAGAAATAGTTATTTAAAGGATTGCTACAATAAACTTTTTTATTAAGTCCCCACTATATCGTCGTGATTGCAAGCGCCATTAGGGAGTAAACCCCTCAAATAAGAAGCATTTCCGTAAATAAGTATAACTTAAATATTAATGACCATGAAAGTTTAAATCAAGTAAATATGTAGTTTCTACGTTTATTGATAGCAAATACTTTATTTTATTGATACTAAGGACCGTATTTCTCCAAATATAATCGTTGTTTCTTGAGCTGTAAGGATTGTATATAGTTGAGACAAGACTTTTGCGTACACCTCAGAGATTTATCTTCTTGACAATAACATTTGTTGCATTTTTGTCTGAAAGTATTATTACATTTTCTTTATTATTCTAAATGAGAAGATATTCAAAGAAAAAAGACATTCATATTACATATTTTGGCTCAATTATAGTATGATTGATTAAAGTATTTAAACTTTATTCTGTTATTACTTCACAATTATTAGAATAGTTTTGGATATTCTTTCTTTAATAGGACAGAATATTGGTTTACCTATATACAGCTCCTGGTATACAATCTTCTTTACTCTCTAGGCTGAATGTAAGTTTATTTCTGTCAATATCCCCGTGCAGTCTTCTGCTTTCAAGTATTGTTTGTGGAACGCACTTGAGTATATGTGTACAATGAATCTTATTGTCTTTGCAGACACAGTCTAAACAAGGGGTCTTCTTTATGTCGTCGTTACTTTTACACGGAAGTCCTGTAATTATTAAAATAAAATCAATTTGATTTTCAAGAGAGTACTACTACTTATTGTCAATATATTTTGTTTTTCATTCATTCATTTGTATGTCAGAAACGATAGATAACGGCGAGCATATACCTACGAAAAATGTTTTGAATTTCACTCTGGAGACGCCGTGTCTTGTGGCGTTCAGTTCTCTCTGCCTTATCTGTACGAAATCTACTGTGACCCCTAACGCTCTAGCCATAAGATACGACACATTAGTGATGTTATGGTGATACTTCGTCTCATTTTACTATTAGTTTTTGGTGGAATACACGGTTGATTAAGTTCGAACACTTCAGTTACATCCATAAGCATCATCCATTTATTATTGGTTTCCCGTTATTAAAGCACATGTTAAAATAGACATATCGCTGTAATATCACTAATATCTATATATACCCTAAGTTAGTCATGGCTAGAAAGTAAGGTGGATTGAAAATATAGGTTAGCAACTATCACCTTCTTTCTTCTTGGCGGCAATCCTATTCATATCGTCGTAGCTAAGGCACAATTTCTCATCGCATACCAGGATACGGTTAAATAGACACGCGCAATAGTTACAGTCCACTTTAACTGTTTGTCCAGGATCACACCGTGATGCAATGTCGGGAAGCTCTTTTAGTCGCTTCGCCTCTTGTTCAGTTATTTCTGGTCTCACATCCGATAGAGTTAATATTGATGAAGTCTTCACTGAAAATATTGCTACAAATTTTACACCAAAACCAACATTTTTACAACAACAACTTACATTAATTATATGTAGAAAAAGTTGGATGGCACAGTGGTTACCGCGTTTTAAATGAGTTTGAAGAGGTTGTGTTACTTTCGCAACCGCCAAACTTAGAATGGTTAGCAAAAAAAATGCCTCTTGGTCTTCAGGAAGAGACTTTACGGTTGTACATCCTATTGGGCCTATGTGTTTGGAATAAGCATTTGTTAACTTTTTATAGCTTTTTCAAATGAAATACTTGTACCCAGGAGTGGGGGACGTTAATAAACCGATGATGATCCTGATAATTACAAACGTCCTCCAGCTGAATTTGATTGAACTCAAACATAACCCAACAGATTTTAAGTATTTTTAATATAGTTACGCTTTTTGATTCATTTAAATATTTACACTAATGCAAATAAAGATACAAGCGATGAGGCTCGATGTGAAATATGAAATGAAGCACTGGCTATTACTGCTGGAATGGCAATGAGTTTATATTAGCACTTACACTTATTTGAAAGTTTCTTGTGACAGGCCTTTGTTGTACACATAGCTAATTGATTAGTGTCGCAGAAGCATCTGTTGCAGCCATTCTGGTATATTTTACCAGGTGTACATACACCATTCTTTGGTAGTGTTGGCAAATTTTGTGATTCAATCGACTTCTTTTTACTAACGATTTGCTTAGCTTTCCGATATGCCATATATTGTGTCATCGATTTCTTACTGACGCATGCTATTTTAGAACATATGAGTGCATTATTCAAGCCACATTTACATGTATTGCAACCCATTTTATAAGCTTTACCAAGTATACATTTTTCGCCTTCTTTTATTTCTGGCAGATCATTATTAGATGGAATATTATCAATTATCGTTGTATTAACTGAAAGTTAAGACATTTTATTAACAATAATTGTTAAAATAATAGAAATATCTTTTGCAATGATTATAAAATTATTAAAATTAGAATACTGATAATTTCAGTACACTAAGTAAAACGTTGTTATAAATAATAATTGATGGATGTTTAAAATTTATTTATTATCATAATTATGCATTCACATAGATAAAATAATACTTTTTAATATAAATAGTCGAAGAGTCAGGAGTTCTTAAAAATTACGGAAATGAATGCGTCTTAACTCTTAGCCATGATATTCTTTTATAAAATCAGCTATACATTGCTATTCTATTGAAAAACAGCCTCAAACTCGACGTCGAACATAGCGCTATGACAGCATATAGGTTAAATGGAAGTAATCCCTTTATTAGATTTTGTAGTAAATTTTATTTGATTGAACTTCCATAGCCTCTCAAGCGTCCGACGCGACCATTTTCAATTAAAGTTAAATAATTTCAGCTGTGGTTAAAACAGCTAATTAACGCTTGAGACTGGATAGTATGATAGCACTGCGCTAGACGTCAATTTTGGAGTCAAGACAGTTTTATAAAGAAAAGGCACTGCCGCGGTGAATTCGATGTACAATATAGAGATTCAATTAAATAAAACCTTTTTCAAAAATAAAGATTTTATTCAAAATTCTAAGGCAAAAAGGTTTTATTTCAATGAATTTCATCCTGTGCTCGAAGTCGAGTTCGAGGCTAATTTTATTAAAGAATAGCATAGCTGTACTATTAATGTATTCCAGAATAATTTGAGTAATCATTTATAGTACGTCTGTGGGGGTCCAAACAAAACATTGTCGTGCATATAGGTACTCCGTCCGGCGAACAATTGCACGTGTTGCAACTCAAACGATATTTGGTCCCTGGTGTACATTTATTATTTTCATTTTTGAGAGCCGGCAAAGATAAAAAATCATTAGACAGTTTCATAATCTTCTCAAATTTCATTTTGGCAGCGCAAATTTTATTTGTGCATGCGAACTGTTTCATTTCATTACATATGCACCTGTTACAATCAATTTTCAATAGAGTTTTTGGTATACATCCTTTGCCTTCGATATCCCGTGTTCTAAATAGAGAACCCTTTTGATACATTATAGATTCCAAAGCAGTTTTATTTATTATCTGTTTTTTTGTTTTTCCAACGGTAAAGCAGAGGCGATCGATGTATATATTAATATCACTGCAACTGCACAATTCGTCTTCAGTTCTTAATATATCGCCGTATTGGCAGGCCTTAATCTTGTTCCCTTGAGTGCAATATCTATTAGTGCAAGAACTTTCATCTATAAATCCATCCTTGGAGCAACGGCATACATTGCAGGCTATCAAATATAAAGTATTAGGTTTGCAAGATTTGTCAATGTTCTCTAACTGTATTTCATTTTTATCTTGTTGTAAATAGATAAAAGTGTCACGACAATTGTTCGATTTCCAATATCCGTCATGAGTGCATGTGCAAATTAAGTCGTTGTTTCTGAATGTAAGATTAGGTTGACACTCCATGTTCTTCACCGCGATTGTGTCATTATTTTCTGAAATTAAAAACAAGTTGTTTCATCAAAAAAATAATCTCATTGGATTCGTATCTATCTAAACGCTGCGACAGAAATCCAGCACGTGTATTGACGGAGAAGGTGCTGGATGGGTTTTAGGTCACTTTTCTGTTAGATCAGTTCGATAAAGGGCTGAAACAATATAAACGGGGCCAGATCTAAGTAGACAATTACCTGGGGAGGCAAAATTAAGGCAACCAAGCAATATTGTTTATGTAAACAATATTGCTTAACAATATTGGAAGTGATTCTCTGTCACTTCGACTATTTTCCTAGACATTATTAAAGAACTGATCGTCATTGTGGATTGCCATTTTTTTACTGTTGGGCGATATATCAAAGACGACCTCTGACAAGCCTTCTTTATAAATATTAATACGTCGTTATTTTTTCCGTAAAAAAAAACACAAACCGTCATTTAACTCGGCAGAGAAATATTATTTTAATCTAATTGTCGCTGCATTCGTATTAGAACCTTAATGGTTCAATGATAATTACGTCAGTCTGATAAGTTTTCCAAAGACCTGTCACCAAATGGGTTACCAAAATTTTCGTGAGATTTTAAAAAGGTAAATAAAATCATTGATTTCGGATGCTAATTAGAACCTTTAATCTCGCTTGGTGGTTATGCATGACCCATTCTCCTTGTAATTTTATTCATAGGAAAAGTCCGCCTCCAAAACCCTATAACACTAGCACATGTAGTTAACAAATAAATATTTTCGACCATTTTGTCTTTCAGAAATTAAAATTGGAATTGTCTAAGGCAACTGTTAAGGACAAATATCTATCCAGAAATATCAATGAAAGATTTGAATGCTAAGTGCATCTTTTGACGGGTTTAACTACATTTTTTTATTTTTCTTTATTCGAATGATTAAAAACATCATTCATTCCAAAAACGATTGGGGCTTCAAAAGTCGTGTAAGATTAAATAAATCAATATAACAATCGCTACACCTTTAAAAGAGATTGCGATAGACATTGAAATTAGACAATTAGCTCTGTGTTTCCTACATGTGCTAGTTCTCCAATCTGGCCTCATATAGTTGCAATATTACGTCCTGTTACTGCCGATGTGTTAGAATAATAGACTCACGGTTATCATGGCTGCACTTCTTCTCCCAGCATTGGTACACTCCGTGGACGTCACACACGCACACGTGACACGGTCCGTTAACCACGCCGGTCGGTATGCACTTTTGCTGTATCTGCATTGGCACTAATATCGGGCCATTTGATGGTGCTTATAAGAAACTGCCCAAGTGCAAGTCGGAATCGCACTCGTATATAATGTTAAATTTTAAAAACCAAGCCTAATTTATGGGTTTTCGTATACTCAGTAGGAATATGTATTATTATTTAATGCATTTTTTACAAATTTTAAGTCCCGTTATTTTATAAATAAATATTGCAGGTAGTCGCTCATTTAATCGAAGAATTTGAAAACTAGTTTGATATTATTATTGTATATAAAGTGTATTTAAAATTCTTACAACAAGCACTGTCAACCGTCATTTTATATATCTCAAAATAAGTGTAGTTTATTTAGCAACTTTTTATTTTATATTGCTACCGAATAGATCACAAACTTACATACATATTTGGTGTATATACCAAATTTTAACTTCATTAATCTGGTAGTTTTCGACTAAATCAGCTTTGACAAAGGGAATACACGTATGGACGGACAAACAGCATTTTAAATACGATTGTTCAAAAAAGAAAATCATAGAACAAAAGATACAACAACACTTAATTGAGAAAAAACAGAAATCTAAAAAAATACGAAACTAAATATCTGCAAATTTCTCGAAATTGTAATTATTGATACATTTTATTAAGACATATATGAGTTTTTAAGTTATTACGGAGTTTAAACAATCTGTATACGAAATTTCGTAAAATATTTGTGGTCAGGAACCAAGAAAGATCCAAGCTCAATATATTAAAATCAGTATAATATTAACTCAGATTTTGAAACTTACGCCAATTCCCTGCAGTTAAACTTAAAATGGTTGACACTACCACAAGAAGTAGAAGCATCTTCTAAAATAACCACACACCAACTAATCTATAATACCAATTCCATAATTCTTGAAAATTAATCAGTCTAATTAACTTTGAAGTTAACGACCAAACAATATGACTTAATAGAACGATCGTAAAAAAAAGAAAAAACAAAGATGTCAATTAAAATTCGTATATTTTCGTAGAAATTCTTTATGCATTCGAACTAATTACGTATGTTTTAATACATAATTACAGTACGCAGGGACATGAAGTAAACGACTAAGAATTAACCAATTTTCACTAGAATATTAGTACTATTCAGCATATCCTCAAACAATACAACGCACTATTTCATAACAAGTAAAAAATAATATGATTCACATCTGGAAAAATAACAAGAAACTCCTTTTTCTTAAGAATCAGGAATTCACCTTATTATTGATACTATCCTAGAAATGAGCCTTATCAAATTCAATATTACACTACTGTATCATCAAATAGTTTCGAAGATCTCCATAATGTCTGCAATGTAGTATACTTTCAATAATTAAGTAGCATTAAAATATATATTGGCAATGATAATGATTTTGACTAACTTAAAACTTCTATACTTATTATTACAAAATTGAACATATATACTTACGTACAGTTAATTCAAAAAGCAACCATCTATTAAAACAATTATCTAATTCTAGGAAACGCCAGTTATAAATCTCAAAGAAGATCTTAGTTAAGAAATAGATATGACGGAAGCATCCAACAAAATACTGACTACAAATTCAGTTTTCAATATATTTATTAAACAGCAGTTACATGTTTTTAGTTTTTGTATTCAAAACAACCACGGGATTTATGAAACTAAAACGAAGACTGAAATATCTTCGACAATTATGTCGGATAAACTTTCAATGGTATCTATACCATTATATATATAATTCTAGAAGTCAAGTATATCTTTAGAATGCTAAACGGTTACTCTCTTATAACAACATCAATCTTTCGCTAACAAGAACTAAGTAAAAATAGTCACAAATACTCTTACAGATATAAAATTAATTTTAAATTACAAACTAAATCACGACATTTATAACCGTTGTACCACAAATTTACGCTGCCGTATGTTCTTGATGCGAACAGTTGAAAAACCACCTTGAATTATTAATATTCTGCCATGTAAATCAGTGATAGGATTATTATACTACCGAATATAAATACGAGTATCAAAATGGTAAGAAATATACATACTGTACTTTTTTACCAAGAGGTGCAACCATTACATTAATCACTAACAATTTAATCAAAAAGTATTACATTTGTAATATCAATGTTAATAAAGATGTTCAAATATAATAATTAAGATCAAATGTTTTGAAACTATAAATTGGTCTAAACTCTAGGAGCACCCTGTTTGTCTCCGGATACATACTAAAATGTGCGAATTACAGGTAATATATTCCGTAGATGCGTTTTTATATGCCCGGTGCATAGATCGTTTGTGAATACGAAATTCGTATTTCTATTCGTTTAATCACTGGTTTAAATCATGTACCTACTTGTTCAAAATGAGTACCTTCATACTTTCAATAGCTATTACCCAAATACTTGTGATACTCGCTAATTATAAATTGTTCATTAATTTTAGCTGATTACTTTGTTTATTTAACGACGGAAATACAATAGAAAGTCTATTACAAACAATAATCTCTATTACAGAAGAAAATACTAAGACATTTTCATTGCTCTATCATATCAAGGTGGTCAATTTGATTGTTTAGACGCTCGGAGCGCTGATGTCGTCATCGCAAAGGTGGAGTGTACAGAAGTAACTCTTGCCGTCGGCTGAACACGTACAATCCTTACAGTCTCGTTTGAACTGTTCACCTGGATCGCAGCGGAAGCCAGGATCAGCTTCTGGAAATGTAGACGATATACTATAGAGATAATTTTAGCTTCTGGAGAATAATACTAGAGGCCTTTTGAAACAGATGTTAGCAAACAACTATTGGCTGCAAATTTAACTGATTTCAGAAGTTATTACACTAATATCCAAAAATCTATGTCTATTTACTTTTCAATCATCTGAAATCAGCTCCACTTCTTGAAGACTTCATATATTACTGTTATTCTACTCACCAGAACTATGCACATCACTGTCCGCCGTGTTTGGTTTGACTTCAGATGTGCAGCGTTTGTTGGTGCACATGGCGTGGTGGCCGTCAGTAGTACATCTACATGTGTTACAGTCTCTCTCAAAGACTGATCCTGGGCTACATTCTGATGAGATCTTCTCTAAATCACTTGTGCCTGAATCATAAAATATTATTATCATATTATGAATCGTTCATACATCTATTTATATATCCCATTCCTTATCTATAGAGTTTTATCTATATGATTAGATGATTCATCATGTTGTATTTGTATCCTACATAATAGTGGAAATTACGTAAAATTTTTAATATTTTTTACATTACTTAAGTTGGCTATAAAAACCTTCTGATGTCATTTTATTTCGTTATTTATCTATGTCAACAACCTAAAGTGTCTTTAAATATATAGTTATTCAATATTCTATTACACATATTTTTTCAAAATATCTCCATTCAATCCTAAGGTCCTAATAAACCATGGACAAAATATAAAATTTATTGCCTAAACTATCTTAATTGTATATTTTTAGATATTTTCTCGTGGTGACTAAAATACCCTTTTTTTAAACCACTGTAAGCGAAATCATCTTTGTGATAACTTAAATTAATTATTACCTCTCTTACTTCTGCCGCCACCGTTGTTGTTATTGTTGACTGCATTGCAGTCCATACGCGTGCAGGAGAAATCCTGCCCTTCATTATCACACAGGCATTTGTTACAATCCAATCGGAACTCTTGGCCGGGCTGACAGTTCTTAGCCGCTTCCTACTGAAGACAGTTTGAGTCTCATATCACAGGTTTACAGGGTATTAGGCATTGTTAATAATTTATAATTACTCAAGTAGCTGTTCCCGTGACCTCTATCGAGTAAAAACTATTTAAAACAATTTCTAGCTTAGCTCGGTGGTGTAGTGGATAAGCGCCGCGGCCCGCGATCGTAGTCGTTAAGCAACTTTCGCAAGGGTCGATCACGGGATGGGTGACCAAAAAATTATTATCTCGAGCTACTCCGTGCTTCGGAAGGCACGTTAAGCCGTTGATCCCGGCTGCATTTGCAGCCGTTAATACGCTCCAATCCGCATTGGGCCAGCGTATAGGGTCATGGCCCATCCTCCTCAATCATCCATAAGGAAGGCCTGAGCCCCTGCAGTGGAAACTTAAAAGGGCTGGTGATGATGATGAAAACAATTTCAGTAAAATTAAAATCTTTTAAAAAGTTTCAATCAACGGATCAACTATGCCAATTTATTGGGCAATATACGTAAATGTTTTGAACGTATATTGAAAGATTCTACTTTCAACACTATTAAAACTAAATTTCATAAAAATAAATAAATATTACCTGCACTGCTCTTACTCGTCTGGATAACGATGTCAAATTCTGAAAAATAAACATACACTATCATTATTTACAAATTCACTAATTTAATCTTACAGCTGAGATTATTTAAAAGCTATTAAATAAGTTAAACTAAATCATAATAATCAACAACAAAACATTTTAGAAACCGATATCATTAGAAAGCACCAACACCATCTAAAAACAAGTAATGAAAATGCCCCAAAACAAAAGCAATGTCACTATGAAGAAATCCACACCTTGAGATCATCTTGGTCGATACAAGCTCGCCTTGTACAAGAAAACGATTTGCCATCTCTATTACAACGGCACATGTTACAATCTAATTCGAAAACTTCATCTGGCCTGCATTCCTTTTCAATTATTCGTAGTTCCTGCTTTTCAATTTTAGCATTTATAACATTTTTATATTTATTGTACTATACATAAAATAAGTAAATGTAAAGCAAGCGTTTATTAAGTTAAAGTCTATATAGCTGTATATTGCTGAAAATGACTAACACCCGTTTTCACTAACTTAAAAAATAGCGAAACGCCTAATCTCACGAATCTCCTAAGGAGTTTGGTTAAATAAGCATTTTGCTTTTATTTGTGACCTGTCATATTACCTTAGACATTACTTACGAGTATCCTTCAATGGTTCTTAATCATTGGTGAGATACATGTTTATCTTAGACGATGCCTAAATACTCGTATTTAGGCGACAGATTTGAGCCACTCCTAAGTTTAGTGAAAACGGGCATAAAAGATATTTTAAAACAGGGTTTATTTATGTTTACCAAATTTATTATATATTCATATAAAATTTCATATAGTGGATATAATAATATTTTTAAAAAGCCAGCTGGACTTAAGCATGCGTTTTATCAAATAACCTCAGGGTTTTCTTCCTCAATAATAGGCTCATCGGGCAGTTCCGGAACACAAACTTTTCTTGTACAAAAGTAGCTTGTTCCATCATCATTGCACCAACAAGTGTTGCAGTCCTTGATAAACATACGATTGGCAACGCAGATCACATCCTTCGTGTTATTTCTAGATGACTGCTTTATCTATTTGACGTAAAAACATGAACATCAGAATTAATGTCTTATGTAATGACTCCCTACTAAGATCTATTTTATGCTTCCGACTGTAAAGCATACGAAAGGCGTTTCGTCATGATATTTATAATGATAATAATAAAACATTTTTTTTTGTATATATTTTATTCAAACTTATATTTTAAATATTATTGTTTCGTATTTATATCTTCCTTATAGTTTCGATTTTTTATTGCGATTGTCGATTTCTACTTCATAAGGTATAATAGGTTTCATGTCCTGTAAAAAACAACAAGTAATTACTTCAAGAAGACAAATATGAATTAGAATTTTAAACTTTAGAATTACATTCACCCTCAGTTCATGAAATAACTCTACGTCTTCAGGCAGCGGACAAGGTTTATTGGTACAGGAGTAATCTGTACCATCATAATTACAATTGCACGTATTGCAGCCAATATAAAAAGTATTCCAGGGTTTGCACACCGAATGACGTTCAATATGATCAACGCCCTGAAATAAGGTAATATTTATTTTTGGTTATACAATAATGAGAGATTCCATTGTCCTAAACACTCTAGCAGAGCGGCTTTATCTTCAAATATTTTTAATCCTCTTGCTTATCTTAAAGAGAGTTTCAATTTTTTTTGTGATACTCATTCCCGCGTCTTGATAACGTTGAGGAACCTGAGGTTGGGGAGACCTATGCACTATTCTACTCGTAAAGTTTATAACGCCAATAAAAAAAGCCGCAGGCAGACTGTCAACTTCGAGTTGTTGGGTAGCGGTTCATGCATTTCAAGCCTGCTGATCACGAGACACTTTTACTCTTCTGACGGTGAACTGCCCACTAGACACATCGTCGCTGATAGTAACAGTTTACAACACGCATGTGCGAGCTTAGAAGTAACCAAAATTCGAGACAACGCTATGCTACTACTAAGCCGATAAAATGTGCTATGACCTTTAGTTGGTTACGAAAGTAATATCAAACCTCGCTCTCCATGAAGACTTCAACTTCTTTATTCATATCTTTCTCCAGACATTCGTTTTGAGTGCATGTGTATTGCTGACCATTCGGAGAACATTTGCAATTGTTGCATTCAGACTGAAATTCTTGATTAGGCTTGCACACAGATCGTTTTACAATATTATGAAGAAAATTCTTGATTACTCTTTCATCATCCTTTCCATTTTTGTCATACTTCTTGATCTAAAAATAATAAAATTGAGGAATTTCGCTAAGCCTTACTTACTTTTAAAGTATTTGTATAAAAACTATATATAATAACAATCACTATACCATCAAAAACAATCTTAAATAGGAACATAGAAATGTATAGGTAGTAAATATCAAAACTAATAAATCCATGAGATTCCATCTAAAACAGACGATTGATTGCCTAGATGCTTTAAAACATAAATATTGTTATAACACTAATATATATTACTTACATACTCACATAAAAATTAGTATTTCCTCATTCAGGTCTTTCAATCACCAATTATTTTATGTTCACCGTTGTTAACACATTTAATTGTCAACGAATTATTGTTGTGCGACTTATGTTGTGCTTTTTGGGTTATCACATTGCTGTTATTGTTTAGTTTAATAAGAGTGTAATCATTATTAAGAAACATTTTGATGTCACAAAATAATTATTATATTTGATAAATTTTGCATTCAATTTTCATTGGCCCTTAGACCTCATTAGAGCGAGAGTTAATAAAGCGGTGCGTTAAAACGTGGAGTTGGCGATTTTAGACTCCCAAGAATCCAAATTAAATTTGACGCCCAACGACCAGCACTGGAAATGGAACCTGGTAATGAATGAATTCTCATATGCGACTGCATATGAGTGTTGCAGATCTTTAAGAGGCATACATTAGAAAGATTATTATTACATATGGGGAACATTCGGAAGACACATAACGCTGTATTATTGACTTACATTACGCATTATTGCGTCTTCGAGAAGACTTCGCATACTGAATATCGAATGACATCGGCCAACAAAATATAAATGTTCGGTCTATTAAATTTTACGTATTATTTGTATTGATATGTATGATGAATTAAACACATATTTGAAATTGTGCGATGATTTAATGATTAAAAGATGTAAAAATTAGAAACACTCACCATATCACTGAACTGTTTGTCGTCGTTATTTGCGTATTTTACTTTGTCAAAGTTGAAATCTGAAATCAATAGAATACCCTCTTTAGTAGAAATGATTGGAGCAACTCAATTTTGTGAACATTGACGACAATATTTTTTGAAATTTTACCATCATAACATGTATACACATTAATGTGCTGTTGTAAATGGTATTTTTATGAAAAATAATGAGGACAAACTGTACTCTCTCACAATATTTATTAACGTGATATTAATATGTGATAATCATCTTCACAACTTAACAGTACTCCTTCTGTTTTAAATTCTTCAATAATTATTACTATGATACTAACTGGTGGAGGTGTCGCATTCAATTAAAGTGCACACGGGCCGCCCGTTGCTTATGCACCAACATGTGTTACAGTCGTTCTTCCACACGCTGTTTGGTGCACAACGCATCTCATGTTCTGAGAACAAAATGCTAACATTGTAAATCAGAAAGAAAATGGATTTTTACCATATACGAAACAGGTGTTTGATGTATACTCTTTAAAGATAACTTTCTAATAAATGAAGTATGTGATTATTATGACAGATGTTAGAATAAAAGTGGGAAGCCGGAATCCTAATAATTAAGTACCATTTGTATCTTCAAAATTACATTTTCAGATATTGGTGGTCCTTACTATACTTTCATTCTATAATAATATTACTGAAACTGTGATAACCAGCAACTTCCACACCCACTCAGTATCTATAACACCGAACTGTGCACCACCCGCATACAAATATAATACACATGTACTTTCATACAAAAGGCATGCAACCTTCATACATAACGCCTGATTCCATTAAATTCTAGTAAAATTATTATGAGACATAAAATGATTGCAGAGTGGAGACCCTGGCACAAAAACCGCACTAAAAAAAATGCAATTGTTATAGACACTTCGCACAGTTTTGAACAAATGCAAAGAAAGTGAACAAGACTGCTAATGAAAGAAACAAAAAAAATACAGGTTTTATTGCAGCCTTTTCAGCTTTTCAGGGGATAATCATAACAAACGGTTCATGGACTCGGGTGCCTCCATGCATCTGATTGGCAATAGAGAATGGATGTATACATAATGTCACGGAACCAATGGTGAAGAAAATATAAGTATCTAATAATAATAATCTAATAATAATAAAGAGCCACTGTTGAAGTAGTTGCATACACTTATATCAAACTAGCACAGGGTAAGAATATTCAGATAAAAAATGTTTTATATGTACCTGATTTAGCTGTCAACCTACTTAGTGAGTACTATTGCTAACAGTGGTTACAATGTAACATTTACTCAAAGAGGATGTGATGTTCATGATTCACATGGAAAATTTATATGTTCTGAAACTCTTAATAATAAATTATATACTTTGGATACAGAGAATAATCCTATAATTGCACATAGATTTGTAGTGACACTTATTTGAAGCATTTCCGCATGGACTATTTGAATGTTTCACATGTCTATATTATACTCCTCCACTCTTCAATACAATGGACTGGCCAAACGCACGAATCTAGAGCTAGGTGTATGTTTCATGCTGACTTAGAGAAAAACTATGGGCAGAGGTATTGGGGTCTGCAGCATATATTTTAAATCGATCTTCTAATAAAGCTTTATGTGGTAAGACACCATATGAATTGTGGAATGACACAAACCTGACCTGTCTCATCTTACAATATTTGGCTCTGAGGCTATGGTCCTTGTACGAAAAGAAAAACGGCAAAAGTGGGACAAAAAGTCACAAAAAGTGACTTTGGCAGGATACTGTGACAATACAAAAGATATCGTTTATTAGATAAAAAAAAACCAAAATAATTAAAAGCAGATACCTCATCCTTTTTGAGAATTGTAAAAGTTCAGATTTAACAGTTATTAACGATATTTCAGCTCCATCAACCAACTCTAAAGATTCACAAGAGAAGTCACAATCGTCAGATTATCAATTTACTTAGACAAGTCACAACAGTAACACAACAAGATGACCTCGATACCTGCGGCAACACCCCCGTTTGAAACAGATAACCCTACTCCATCGATTCAAGAAACTACAGGTGATTGTGTGACAAATGAAGATTATAATGACTGTTCCTATGAATATGAGGTCTTATCAACGGCAGAGACAGAATATATGGCTATGGCGGCGGTGGCGCAGGAGGCGCTATGGTTGCAACAACTGCTGCAGCAGCAGCCTGGGAGCAGCCTGGCCAGACTCTGGTCGTCCACAGAGACAACCAAAGTGCGGGCAAACTCACCATGAACGATTGTTACTTACTAATATCCAGACACATACACATAAGACACCATTTCCTTAAGAAGCATGTGAATAATGCTAGATTAAAATTTTGCTTTGTAAAAGTTTCAAAAAACGTTTCCGATATATTTATGCTTAAAATTTGTACTACCTAATGTTAAAAAAGTAGATATAAATGTTAATATAAAAGATAAGAACATGGGCCTTGTGGATACCACAGTATTTTTAGGAATAACATTAGATTCTAAACTACAGTGGGGCCCACATATTGATGGATTATCGAGTAGACTTAGCTCTGCAGCATATGCCGTAATGAAGATACGTAGGTTAACTGACATAGATACTGCCAGATTAGTATACTTCAGTTACTTTCATAGTGTTATGTCGTACGGTATCCTATTGTGGGGAAATGCTGCCGACATACAAACAATTTTTGTGCTTCAGAAAAGAGCAATTCGATCAATTTATAATCTTAGGATTAGGGATTCTTTAAGGGAGAAATTTAAGGAAATAGACATTATGACTGTTGCTTTTCAATACATATACGAGAACTTAATGTACGTTCGTAAAAATATTAGTTTGTTTTCTATAAAAAGTGATGTACACAATTTTAATACAAGAAATAAAAATAAATTAACGGTGCCTGTCACTAGACTGCAAAAAGTTAATAACTAATTCAGGGGTCTTTGTGTGCGCTTCTACAATAAGGTCCCAAGCAAAATACAACAATTAGATATCATGCAGTTTAAATCTACTATTAAAAAAATACAGAGGTGAGTTGTGACAAGGAGGATTTCTCTCTACGTATTATAGTAAGCGAGATGGCATTAACGCTTGTTTGTCGTTCTCGACACGCGCTACACGACTCAGTACCTGTCGACGGTGCATGTGGCACAGTTGCGTAAATATATCGTCAGTGTACAAAAAATTACGAAAAGTAAGTTTTTCTTCAAAATATTATTTGAATATATATCATATCTTAGTATATGTGCATTGATGTGTTATTTTTTCTTAAGTTATGTAGTTATTTAAGTCTCAATACGTGGCACTGATTTTTTGTATGCGCATCGTGTTTAGAAAATATGAATTATTATTCGGACCAAGACGTCATTTTGAACACCTAGGAGAGTTGTGACAGCCTGTCACAACTCTCCTAACTTACTCCAAATTTCTGCTGGGCTATTTTTACATTTTTTTTTATTAACTTTAGATGTTTGTTGGTGTGTTAGTAGCTACTTAAGGTGTATAATGGCATACCGCATACTTATTTTTTTGAGAATACCAAATAACTATACACGAGAGACTGAAAATCTAAGAATGTTAAGAAGCGTGTCTTAAGCGAAGAAAAAAAAAGAAACCTAAAAAAGCAAAGAAGACTAATAAGAAGAATAGAACAAGTGATGAAGAAGATGTAGAAAATAATTGCTTTTATTTGGTTTGCCTTGAAGCCTATGCAGACAGCAGATCGAATGATCAGTGGGTCCAAAGCCTGGAATGCAAAGGCTAGGCACAGTTAGATTGTACTGGGGACGAACTTCATTACGTTTGGCATAAATGTGAATCTGATTAGATTAAGATTTTATACTGATGAGAATATTCTCATAACAAGTAATTATAATATTTTCATTAACTAAATATTGTATCGCTTTGAGATCAATCATATTATTGTAGTATTAATATTAATACTATGTTGTTTTAGTTGGTAGGTATTAAAAGATGATTAATCAAATCAAATCAATCTTTATTGTTGATCGCAGGTTATATAAAGATATTGGATGCAAGGACTGAATAGTTACACCGTGATCTGCCTAAAAAGCATACAATATTTGTAGGTTAGTAATTGTCAACTAATCTAATCAATAACATGTTATGTCAAAAATTCAACTAATTCATTAAGTATTTATACATTTACAAAGTACTGTCAGCTAGATACTCGTTTACACTATAATATGTTTTAGCTACTAATAATTTACAAAGTTTTCTTTTAAAAACATTACAATTATCCAGATTACGTATTGTTTTTGGAATTTTATCAAAAATTTTTGGAGCCATACAAAAGATACTTTTGTTCAACTGAGCTGTCTTAGAGGGTATCGTACACAATTTGTCTCGATGACGCAATCTCGTCTTATTTTCAAATAGTTGTTGATCCTGTTTGACAAAAATACCAACTTCGAATATATAGATTGATGGCAGGGTCATAATATTTAGTTTAATAAAATATGCTCCTAACACATTTTTTCTGGGCTCTAAAGGCAGTTACAGAATCAGTCGAATATCCCCAAAATATAATCATAACATATAACCGTATCGAACAGTAGAAACTACGTACGCGTGATAAGCTGTAAGGACCGTGCACTGATTCGCGATCCTACTAAGTTTGTACAGTGCACAAGAATACTGGGACAACTTTTTGCAAACATGTTCAGTGTGTGTTTTCCAAGTCAAATTTATTATTATAGTACTGATTAAAGTACTGATTTGATAAAAAAAACGTGCTTGATTTATTTATGTCGTATGTAATGGTATTTTTATATCTTATAGCTTAAATACAATGATGTCACAACTTACCTCGGTACCTGTCACAACTTACCTCGGTGGTAGGAGAGTTGTGACAAGGGGAGTGGACTTGAATTTTGTTATTTTTTTCAGAAACTATTATACTTTAATTAATTTTAGTGATGGTTTTGAAAACAGAAGGAATGGCGCTAAATTAATTCACATGAGTCATAACTGTGGAATATTTCTTAAGCGAGATAGAGCCCCTTATGTAAAAATTGTCACAACTCTCCTAGGTCTCCCCTACTTATTAAAAAAAGCTTATTATAAGGCATCCGATTATATAACAGATAAGAACGTTTGGACTTGAGATGATCCAGCAACTGGATAGGTGATTACTTCTAAACTCATTATCTTGTTACCATTATTATTAAATGATTATGTTATTATTATAAGACCATAGTTTTTTTTTTCTATCTCTGCTTATACTGTATTGATCTGGTGATGACATGGTTTTTGTAAATGTCATTACTCTTATTAGAGCTGGTGAGTTTCTTGCTCGTTCTTCTTATCAGCCAAAAGACGTCCTGAACGAGTGGTAGGGAAAAAATGTTGGACGATTCAAAAGTACTTTTAAGAAGTCTATTTGAATAAAGATTATTTTGACTTTTGACTTTGACTTTGACTTTACTAAGGGACCTCTTTAACTAAACATTTATATTGTTTATTCGAAGATGGCTTTTGAGCATGTTCTTTTCATTATTATTATTATATCTTATATAGCTTATAGACGCAGACCTTTTCCTTTGCATTCAGCAGAGTCACACTGTCCATAGCCAGCATCTGAACATCTGCATTCACCGCATTTATTAGTCCAAGTAGTTCCAGGAGCACAGTCTTTGCCGGCTGGTAACTCAGGCTTTTTTGTAACTGAAATATAAACAAAAATATTTTAGATTGTTTGTGTGCGAGTCACGTGGATATATCGTAAGTAAATATTGAACTCATAAGACTAAGTTTTCTAATCTTTTCGACGTTTTGCGTAAATAGCTGAAGATACATGATTTGGTAATTATAAAGATGACTTGTACTATCTACATGTTTATCTTGTACTCAAATTCCTTTTTAATTAATTTATATTTTTATAATCTATTTATTATTATTTTTTATATCTATGATCTATTATTATCGATTGGTCGACTAAATGTATATTGATATAAATATTGGTCAACATTACATACATTGCATGTTCAGATCCTACTCCTGCAGAGCGACCGCCTAATTCTCTGGTCTTGATTCTAAAGATAGGGTACGACATTTTGGCAGTGTTATGACGATATTTCATGATCATGTTACAACTTTGACATGTCTTTTGGTGGATGAATTTGAGATAAATGGGTTGGTAACCCTGCTATTAAATTAATAATCATCATTTTCATCGTTCGATCGTCATTACTTAAGTAGATATAAAAGTAGTAAAGTGAAACGAAATATTACCATCACATCGATAAGATGTCGTATCATATGGCTGGAATCGTGACTAGAGAGATAGGCTGTTGCCGTAGCTGTGGCCGTAGCATAATTAAATTTCTTATACCTTCTTGAAAAGTCATGACATACTATAGGGTTAAATAATAAGCGTACAGTACGAATTTGATGCGAAAAAGAGCCAAGAACGCATTTTAAAGTTTATCTTGAAAGTCACGTTAAGGTGAAACTAATAGATCTAGGTGTTATTCATGAAACGCGGCCTCATTGTTATTAGGTTACACTGACTGCATTTTCTCGCGCTTTAGAATCCGATCTCCTCTAGAAAAGTATGAGGATGTGAGGAAAAAGTAAGAACTAATAACTGAACTGATGACAGGTGCATAAATCTTGAATAAATCTAGTTACTTTGTATGCTTTACATATAGTTGACTCAGATCAAGATACGTGGTTAAGAGCGTTTTAACCCACTTATTTGCCTTCAATTTAATTTTTAGTTGCCACTTTATCTTTATTTTCATGCCACCCGTTCTAAAACGTTAACTGAAATCCTTAATATTTAGTCAGTATTATAAAGGTAAAACATTTTTCATAAAAAATTATCTGTCAGCCTGATATATAAAGGTGCACTTCAGTTACGCTGTATAATCGCAGATCTTGAGTATTCAGAGATAATTGATTGACACAAGGCCTAGTTATACATTTATACAAATAGATATATGACGAATTATTTACATTATTGAATATTGACATTCGCACTTACTACTTGATCTCCGACAGAACTCAAGAGTGCAGAGCGCTAGGCCATTTTCTAAACAGATGCAAGTGTTGCAGTCGCGGACGAATGTGCTATTGGGCTTGCATTGTAGTGGTTCCTCTGAAAAAAACATATTTACATGGCTATGTAAATACATTTATCCAAGGGGTATACAAACCGGGTATAAGTTATTTCTGTGACTCATTGATCGGTCATTGCTTTATCGACCAATGAAATTACCTCTGAGCTCGACCATAATCCATATGTGGACTTTATTGATTAATGTAAATGAGCCATCAGGATGACGATATTGTTAAAATGTTTTTTAGGATGAGCGGTTATAAAGACCCGTGTAAAACTTCCATTTGTTGCTGGAAGAAAAACACGGTTCTTTCACTCTTTGCGAAAAGAAAGTATCTTCGTACCTGTTCTATAAATGAAAAAGACTATTGCATCATTATTTAGGACAGTTGAAGTTAAACACTAATTCACATTAAAATACTCTATAAACGTCCTCTTGAAATCATTATGCTATCAGGTATAAAGACAAGACAGGGTGGCTGTATAGCCTTGATTTGAGGCTAGGGTGCTTTTCCCCTGTGTTTATAACGCAAAGAAAAGGCTTGCTTACGGTATTAAGTAGAATGTATCTAGCTTTGGATATGGCATAGCTATTTACCAAAAACTCCATCGCCGCACGTTTCTTGTCTGAGACACTCAGCGACACCGGTATCTGAGCACCGGCAGTAATGACAATTGCTCTCCCATTCGCTGCCCGCTTCACATTCCACTTGTGGAGCTGATGAGTCAGCAGTCTGTGATACTACTGCAGGAGGTGCTGACACTGGAAATACACATAAACATTTGTTTTAAAATCTGAAATGATTTTGCCACTTGTAGTGTTTGACTATGCTGCCATTTATTTTAAAATATCTACCATCCAATAATACTTCTCGGAGGTATCTATATCATAATGATAATGACATGTTACAATTTTATGTATTCATTTTATAGATTATTTAAATTATTGACTTTTATTATTTCTATATCAACGTCCCCACTGCTGGGGCACATGCCTTCCCTGTGGATGAAGACTAAACGGAAAGAAAATGGGCCGTGGCCTACCATGCGGGCTCGGAATAAATTGGAGGGTGTTGACGATAACATATGCAGCCAGAACCAACGTCTTAAACTTCCTAAGTACGGAGGAGCTCGAGATAATAATTGTTTGGTCACCTATCCCACGACCGGCCATTGCCAAAGTTGCTAAACAACCGTAATTTATTTACTTATAATTTTAAAGTCGTATACATTACAATAATTATATTTACTTCCAAATTAGAAAGCCTCTCCGTAGAAAACTGCTAAAACAAACTCAGTTATATGAAAATATCTGTATGCTTGGGGAAAGATGATAACATCATTTGATCTTCAGAACACAGTCATTCTATGATTTGATTTTGCAGTTGCGAAGATTAAGCGACAAAAGTCAATCATCGTGCTGGTTACAAAAATGCAGGAACATGAGATTACCCTGGACAAGCCAATCATCGTACAGTTTGCAAAAATTCAGGAACATGAAATGATTTCTAGCATCTACGTATTCTTGAAGTAAGCTGGTTATTCCTTGCAGGACATTAACTTGTAGTGGACCAGCGTGGTGGGTTATAGTATAATGATAATATTCATATAGAAAGTCTATATCGTAGCAGTGAATGTATAAAACGACGCATAAATAACGCTCGAGGAGGCGCACTGGTTTGCGTGGTCGGTGCAACTTTGCAAAGGCTGGTTAGTTCCTAAAATTTTGGGCAACAATTTTTTCAAGCATGATTTACTCTTATTCATTTTCGTTCTACTCTTGCACTAACCTACTTACGGAATCTTAATTCGTAGTGTAATATTTTAGTGTAAGTCGGAATTCGTATAATTTGCAAAAACAGATCGAAATTTTATATTTTTTCGTCTGTTTAGTCCTTTGTCCTGTTCTATCTTAACTATTTTTAACGCCATAGAGTAGGACAGAGCACGATGAAATTGATTTCTAAAGTGCAATCCTTTCCTTCTTGACATTAAGTATATATTTATACAACTGTTTTATTTATCACATTTACTGACCTATTTTATCTGGTATTCTCCTTGCTTTAATATAGTAATAGTAATATCATCATCTGTATCAAAATCATTCGCCAAATTATTCCAAAATAAAATTTCGTTTAACGTACATAATTAAATTTCAATCTGACCTTCTTTTGCACTTCCTGTAGAACACGAAGCGTCTTTCTCTGGTGAACATCTTATTGCTGAAATGATAAGAGAAAAGCGTGATTAATTAAAAAATAATCATTAATTAATTAATTTACAAACACTTAAATAGTATTTTTATTTCGAGTTTTGTTACTTTGTTATAAAAAAAATTTAATAATTTCAAAACGCTTTTTTATTAATTTTCTTACAAAAGACGACGGAATAGTTTAGAACATTTTGTGGAATTCGCAAATGGCCATCAAACGCCAAAGGCGTGTTCTTAAATTTTGAAACCTAGCTCAGACTAATAAACAATATTTTGCCGATTACAAATATGTTCAATTGTCATTGTAAAACTGTAAGCTTCCTCAGTTCATAATGAATATCATGTTAATGTAACCCTACGCAAACCTACGATGGCTTATAATTTAACGAGACAGATCATAAACTTAATGATTTTTTATATCTACTTGAACACCAAAATCTGCGTAAAAAAAATCTAAAATCAACTTGACTAGCTTTCCTGACTTTTGGGAGTCTAGACAAGGTAAAGGGCTTAAAGAACGTGCTCTTTGGGAAGTCAAATAAATTCCGAGTTACGACGAAGTCATAAGTAGTTAGAATTGCGTAACACACGGCAACCGCATTAGCAGTTCGTTTTTTTTTTAACTTGGCTAAGCAAGTTGCGTAGTATCTGAACAAGGTTTTGACGGTTAATAATGACGCCGGAAAAAAAAGTTCTTATAAGAATTTCACTAAATAAAAATTCGAATTAATCAAGATTTTATTACGAGTATAATCACTTCGAATGTTTTTAGTAAAGCCTCCTGCAAAATGAGAATACGACGACGCGAGTAATGAGGTCATCATCTCTGTGATTTTGGACGCAAATCAATATACATCGATTTTGATCGTTCACAAAGCCATCTTCTCTCAGCTATTGAGACAATTGTTGCCGCTAATAATAGAACTGCAATTATTGTGAGGCTAAAGGGCAAATTGTGGATCGTCAGACGCTCGATCGGAGTCGATATCACGTGACTTTCGGTTACCATCACTGACAGGAGAGAAAACGAGAAAGATAACAACTCCTGTCGGTTCATCTTAATCTCCCGTCGTAAGTTTACGAGCCGATGTGAGCTTTTCGACATTTATAAGTGGTAAGGTAAGGTTGCCAATTTTGGTTCATGTCATGTTCATGTTTTTTATTTAGTTTCTCTCAGTTAGTTGCACAAACGTCCATTAAAATTGTAATTAGTTTAAATCGATATTACCAATACAAATTTGACATTCATTAGAGTTTTAAGGTGTCACACCTTAATGAACATTAGTGCAACTGATTGTAAGTCAGGATAAATCATTCAATTTAAATCTACTAATAATAGAATACAAGTCAAAAGAAATATTTTAGTTAAATTTTAGTTAAAAATAAGGAATCTGATTATATAGCAGATAAGAATGCTTTCAGCAAATTTTGACAAGTGAATTCTTCTATACTTATTACATATCAAAATTATCAGGTTGCTTATTATGCTATCATTGTAAAATCATAGTTTTTAATTTTTTAATTAATTTTTAATTTAAAAAAGACAAATTTAGATGGACTATTTCGAACAATTATATACACTAAAATATATGATGAAATATAAAGATAATACTAAACATTTTGTTATAAATGAATGTCAACAAATTCAATGATTTTAATAAATGAGAATTGTGGGGTACAATTTACTATGGTTAGAGTCTGTGGTTATAGCGAGAAAATTACATGGTCAATACCCTGACATGAGTTAGTTTGATTTGCTCAGGGGCCAATTTGCAATTGTATAAGCTTTTAAATCATTTTGAAATTGACATTTTGAAAGATATTCATGAACTTCACACTAAAACAATTTGACATGTAATAGTGATTTCAATTGCGACTTTTTAAAAATATTGAATGAAAAATATTGTTAATTCGACGTTAAGTGAAATTTTCTAAGGTAAATAATAAATAAAATAAATAATAAATAAAATAAATAATAAATAAATATTTAACAACATCACATACATTGCTCAGATTCCAAGATGAGTAGCTAAAGCCCCAGTATTATGGAGTATCTGAGACAACGAAGGTACCACAACAAGTTTTCTTATCATGTTTCTTGATCATTCAAATAATCTATCGTTCCGAAATCGATTGCGACTTTTAAGCACTTCATAATAATAAATCGCTCTCAGAAATACTCTACATTTGAAAGGGATTGCGCTAGATTTTGGAAATAGATAATTACGCCCCTGGTACAATGTAATATCTAATAGATGCTTGTTTTTATTCTGATTTCTTATACTTTCACGTGCACTATTCATTAAATAAAACTATTTAAACGGGTGTAGCATATTCGATTTCATGACGTTTCGGATCTTTTACAGTTTCCATGTTCCTACTTGTTTTTTGTATTTAAATAAAAAAAAAATTGAATTACTTAAATACGCCCATAATAAATATAAACCGTGGTTAATCAGTAAACACGAATTCCTCTTATCATATAGTCCATTCATGAGAAGAAACATTAATAGTAGCGGCAGTGTACGCGACAAGACGAGCTTGGTTCAAGCTTGCGACCTCAGATAAAGGTTTGTAGTTAACAATAATTAAAAAGTGATTATTGCTTATCTGGGGTTCACTCGAACACGTCATTTCTATCTATATCTAAATAACACAAGTCACACGTACTGCCAACAGCACATCAAATTATACAAATCTGTGAATTTTCTCTACAATCTCTGTCTAAGTAAGGTAAAGGGGACTGATTTATCAATTGAAGCACAGATCAAACTACTGGTCTAGTAGTTTCCAATATAGGGGACCTTCACGGGGGTATATAAGCTATAATTAAATACCTAATGATAAAATGATAAAGACCTAATGTTTAATGAAAGAATAAAACTATTTAAAAAAGTGCTTAAAACGAAAATATCATCATATGAAGGATAAGATGAAGGATCTGGGTTATCAAGCAAACTCTATTAATGACAGTAACACTCGTATCTAAAGAAGTAATAAATTGTGAATATGTAGAGTTTGAATGAAGTAAGAAGTGTTAACAGTTAGGATACTGAAATTATTAGTCATTAACAGTACATACTTCATTGAAATTCTCGTCTATTGTTTATAAAATCTGCTTAAGTTATGACATTTTCTCAAGTAATTACTTCTTTAGATTAAAGATATGATGGATGTAAGAGTCAGGTCCGAACATTTTAACTCTTAATAACATCTATAAGGAGAAATAAAAACCTCTATAACGAGATAACAGACACTAGAATTTGCCATTACCTTTTAAGTGAGAGTCAAACCTATTATATATCTTTTTATTATATTTGATAAATTTCGAATTTATCATTAATAAATTTCATATTTTTCAGTATAGCATTGTGAATGGGAAATAGATATTTAATCTTTATCGAAAATTTAAATATTTGTAAGAAATTCTTATATTTGTAAGTATATTTCTTTCGGCTGTTTGGGTGGATTGCCTTAACATTGATGAGAATACGCTCTGTAGTAGCGAAAAAGTAGCTCAGTGATTAAAGCAATCACCCGGATTGTGATAGGTCATGGGTTCGAATCCCATCTTAGGGTGCCAGGGACCAAGTTAATTTTTCATTAAGAATACTACTACATATCTGTTTATTATGTGTTTGAAATTTAGGAAAGATAACCATTGTTTCCTTTCCTTAAATTTCGAGAAACACCGTAGGTTTACGAACCTATGGCATTGTTTTCGACTTTCACAAATGCTTGTTTCAGCCTAGACTGAATAAATGTTTTTGATATGATTTGAATGCCAGACGGGCGTGTGTGCCGATGCCGATTTTCGCGAACTTTCTAAAGTTGATAAGTGTCAATAGCAAAGAAAATCTCAGTGTTGTTATTAAATGATCGAGTAGTCAACACTTTCGAAATGTAAATCAAAGCAAGCATGATTTATCAGAAACCGCTTGTTAAGAAATTATAAATCAAAAGATTCTATTAAACCCCAGTCCTATGAACCCAGAAATATTACAAAGGCGACAATTTCTATAGATAGGCCCTTGTGGAACTTTAAGTAATACCTCTATTTAGAAAAATGCCACTTCATACTTCTGTAAGCTAGAAACTCGCGTTAGTGAGAAACCTGTATAAGTGAAAAAAAATCATGGTCCCTTGAACTCTCTCTTATACAGGTTCTATTGAATTTAATAAGAGGGTTGAAGATCGAGGATAAAATCAGTTGTTCTAATAGGTCATAAAGTGCAAGAGTTTTCTAAGGCTTGATATACCAGTATATTGGAGTACTAAGGGTATATATTACTCAGTCCCAGAGCTTAGGTCAAGTGCCATTGTCATTTGCAAAATTACACTCTTCAATCGGTGTATCTACATTTATCTTTTGTTGTGCCAGTGTTTTGGCGAGGACGCAAAGTTCCAGTACTTTGCATAAAGCACCAAATTTCGTTAAAAAAAAATTTTTTTTTTTTTTTAAGCGGCGATTTTTTTTTAACTCGCTAGGAGTTAAAAAAAAAAAACAATCAGACAGTTAAGTACATTGCTCAGATTCTAAGTTAAGAAGCTAAAGCACTTGTATTATGAAAGTGTAAACGAGCAGTTTTTTTATGACGAAGTGGTTGATGCGCTCGGTCCACGGTCTACTTTTGTATGGGCCGGTCATAGGAAGGGTAACTAACTTAAAATCTCAAGCTCCTTCGTGCTTCGAAATGTACGATAAGCCATTAGTTGTGGCTGCATCTGCAGTCATTATAGTAGTACGACTCATTCTCCCTATTTATTCAATTTCATCCATAGGGAAGGCTATATCCTAAAAATTGGCATATTAATATACTAATAATATACCTATCCTATTGCGGTGGTTGAAGCAAGATGAAGCTATTTTAATCTATACTATTTCACTTTGACAACGACTTTTGCATCTCATTGAAAGCAATTCATGTTGAATCAGAATACAGGACACGATTAGAATAAATTATAATAAATTAAAGGATAAAATCATGCCGCTTCGGATACCGTTATAGA